TTTTAATGTTGATAGCTTGGCTCGACAATCTTGGAGCAATCACTGCTAGCATTGGCAGGCCTCTCTGAGAACACAGGAAAAGGGGTGTGAAGAGTAGCCAAGGGCAGGATCAAGGCTAATGCACAGGATGCCGGTGTAAGGACTGATGAGCTCTGAATTACCATGGATTATTTTCTATAGTCTTCCTGTGGCCTCTTGTTCCTTTAAATTCTTGGTATTGCTGATAACACAACACAGAATCAGGAACTTGTAGCCTGTAGCCTCTGAGGTGTCCCCCAACCAAAAAAAAAAACAACAACATCTAACACAAGTGATGAGGCTCGTCCTTGTGGCTTTGTTCTTAATCCATACCTCAGCATCCGCTCAGACTTGACTTCCAGACTGCAGTTTCTTTTTCTTTTTTTGAGTTGGAGACTCACTCTGTCGCCCAGACTGGAGTGCAGTAGCCGCTTCCGGCCACCGCAGCCTCGCCTGCTGGGCTCCAGCGATCCTTTCGCCTCAGCCTTCCGAGTAGCCAGAATGACAGGCACTCGCTACCATGCCCGGCTGATTTTTTGATTTATTGTAGAGATGAGGTCTCGCCGCCCAGGAGGGTCTCGAACCCGCGGGCTCAGGCAATCCACTCACCTCAGCCTCCCAAAGGGCGCGGGATTACAGGCTGAGCCACCGAGCCCGGCTTAGACTGCAGTTTCTTGATCCATCACTTCACTCTCCCCCTTTCCATGTCAGGTTCCCTGTGTCTTGGTTGCTCCTAGTTCCTTTACTGTGTTGACATGTACCTGCCTGCCCACAGTATGACATAAATGAACCAGTTTTGACAAATTCCCAATGAAAAATCTCTTCAGGGTGATCAGCTTAGTGTATCAGATCTCAACTCATGTTACCTGCCAGGTCCTTCTTAGAGTACCTACACTGGGGACAATGTAGGACCACAGGATTAAGGGGCTGAACCTGATGTGATAACAGAAGCCTTGGGCTAGAAGGGAGGGACTCCAGGTTCTGGGTCCTGTGTGGTCACTATGCATTTGACCAGCAACAAGTCACTTTCCTGCTCTACTCACTAGTCTCTTCACCTATAAAGAAAGGGACTGAATCAGAAATGATAGTTCCAGAGAAGAGAGGAAACAGACCCCCCAAGTGACACCAATACCAGGTGTCAGAGGACATTCTGTACAAGAGCTCCCCATCTCCACGGCTTTTAACACCAGTGATCAAATTGTTTCCCAGTGAGGGAATAACCACTTGTTCTCACACCAGCATATATGAGGGTGTGTATTTCGCAGGTTCCTCACCAGCATTGAGTTTTATGAGTTTTAAAACATTTGCTAGGGCCATAAGAGATAAGGTAGACAAGTGGGACCTCATCAAACTGACAAGCTTCTGCAAAGCCAAAGAAACCATCAAGAGAGCAGGGAGATAGCCCACAGACTGAGAAAAAATATTTGCCAACTCCATGTCTGACAGAGACCTAACATCTAGGATCTACAAGAAACTCAAACGTGCCGAAAAGAAAAAAACAAACAGCCCCATTACAAAGTGGGCAATAGATATCAATAGGAACTTCTCAAAAGAAGACATATATAAGCAGCCAACAAATACATGAAAAAATGCTCAGCCTCACTAGTCATCAAAGCAATGCAAACTAAAACCACACTGTGATACCACCTAACTCCTATCAGGATGGCCATCATCAATAACTCAAAAAATAGTAGATGCTGGAGATGATGCTGGGAAAACGGAACACTTCTACACTGTTGATGGGAGTATAAACTAGTACATCCTCTGTGAAAAACAGTTTGGTGATTCCTAAAAGATCTAAAAATCAACTTTCCATTCGACTCTGCAATCCCTCTACTGAGAATATACCCGAAGGAACTCAAATCATTCTATGAAAAAGATACCTGCACATTTATGTGTATTGCAGCATTGTTCACAGTAGCAAAAACATGGAACTAACTATGCTGCCCATTGAAAGAAGACTGGATTTTTAAAATGTGGTACTTATACACGATGGAATATTATGCAGCCATAAAGAAGGACAAAATTATGAACTTCACAGCAACTTGGATGGACTTAGAGTCTATAATATTGAGTGATCTATCATGGAGTCAAAGAACTAACTATCACATGTTCTCACTCATAAGTGGACCTTGAACAATTATTGTAATACTATAAGAAAGGGATTGGCAGTAGTGGGAAATTGCCAGGGGAGGGAGGTAGGGAAGGACGGGATGGGATTGGCAGTAGTGGGAATCTGTGGGGTTGGGGGCACACTTCATCAACAAGGGTTCCTGCATAATGAACATTTATATACCTAACTCTGAATTGTACCCCACATCTTTAAAATAAAAAAATTAAAATAAAAAAAAACATTTGCTAGGATGCTATGTCTTTATTGGTATTTCTTTGATACTGAGATTGAACATTGAATTTCCTCTTTGTGTTATCAATGAAAGCATCACTAAACAAATTGATAATGGAAGCAAGCTTCAAAATGCAGCGATTCTTCCTAGTTCTAGTTCTTCCTCTGTCTGGGATCCAGAGACTGAAAGGTTTGCCAAGGTCACAGTTAAGGGACACTTTTTACTTTAAGCTGTTTCTCATTTGCAGCATTCTTGAAAAATAACTAAGAGTTCAAGTTCTGTCTGGTACTTAGGAAGCTCTGGCTTCTATTACAATGTAAACTTGAAAGTAGGGAACACCTGCTCTTCTTGAAACAAGTGTATCATTTAGGTATTTCCTAAATTATCAAATTCCGAAAGTAATGGGATTTACTGTACTTACATATAAATAAAACATCGGAAGGTAATTCAGGCACTCCTAGGCAGCGGTCATCTGACCTAAACACCTGTTGCATGTGACTTATCGTCCAGCTGGGGACTCACTGCTTAACTACAACATCCACATGCCCTTCCACCCCTGCCTGAGGCCCATGCTCACCTCTCTGGCCTGGAACCTGGAAAGCCCTCCTGCCCAAGCCAGGTGAAGGTGCCGAGAAGGGGTCACATGCCGTGAGCCGCCCAAGGTGGAGCCCAACACTCAGCTCCTCCCCCACAAGGACATCGCCCGGTTCTCACCTGGTTCTTCCATGTTACAGGCGTGTGTGTGATCCTCTCGGCAGCCCACCTCTCGGCAGCCTATGGCTGCCATCCTCTCGGCAGCCCATGGCTGTTAACACCAACTCTGTGGGAAAGTGCCTGTTGAGCTTCAGACCCATACCTGGACCTAGCCCTTTAGTGAGTTGAGACCTTTTCTGTGCTGCAGGGAACTGAGTCCCTCTCCCCAGCTGTCCTCTTCCTCAGTCTCTCCTAAGGGCCTCCTGGCATAGCCTCATCCAGACCATGGGGCCTAAGCATCAAACTGGATGGTGTGGAGGAACATGTGTGATCTGACTTGGAATTAGCTTTGCTGCTGAATGACTTCATGCTTGAGATCCCAGAGTGGCTGTAAAACCTAAATTCCACATTCATATGGGCACATGAAATTTACACACTCTGTAAATGCTGGAGTGTCACAAAATGAGAGATGTTCTCACTATAGCTTTTCCCAGTATTTCTAAGATTTGTGTGGTATTTCATAAGAATCGATAAATATGAATATTGCTGCTCCTAAGGGCATCTACTAGGCTATTAGGTGCACAAAGGTTTTGATCAAACAAGTTTTTGAAAACTTTGAAGATTAAACATGAACACATTTTGAAGCAGTGACCCCTCCTGGCCTCAACTTTCCTCCAGGGAAAATGGGAAGAGCTGGGTCCTCCTCCTTAGCCCAGAGGATGCACGAGACAGTTTGTAGAGCTGTCTTCCCTCACGGGAGAGGAAATGGGGGTTGTCATGCCCTATGCCTAGTGACACACCCTGTGATGAGGCCCTGAACTTCCCTTGTACTTTTGTCTCTATGCAAGCCACTAGCTCCAGGCCATTTCTGGAGACAGTGTAAACTCTAGAATCTGACTGCTTATAATCCATTTCCAATTGAACTCCTACTATGTGACCTTGGACAAGTTGCTTAGCCTCTGGTGCCTCAGTTTACTACCTACAAAATGAGGATAATGTTGTCATTCCACCTCAGTGTTGTGGGATTAAGTGAAACAATATAAAAGACTGTGCTATACCAGACATATAGCAAATACTCAGTAAATGCTAAGTGGTAGTATCAGATTTTTTTCATGCTTACTCTAAATTTAGGAGGCATATTTTAATCATGCATCTATTTTGGGATCCAACAAATTCACAGAAATGTAGAAACTTTGGATGAACTTAAAACTAAAAATGACATTAATTAGAGGTTTAGAATATAGCCTGCTAAGGTTGCTGAATAATTTCAACTTTATTTACATAAGAGACAGAGGTCTAAAGGGTGGCTTAATTTGTCATTCTCATAAAGATGGCAACTTGTGTTTGACATTTGGTAGTTCAGTTCTTGCTCTCGGTTCCTGAAAACAAGAGTCACAGGTTCTGGGCTTACACCTGATCAGTCAGGACTTTGTAGAAACAAAGGAATCATTTAGGACCAAATGGCTTGTTCATTGCAGGAATGGGAACAGAAAAGTCATGCACATTTCCTCTCTTGGGCCCCTTCAAGGCTCAAGAGGCATAGAATCATCTCCCTGGTAGGCTTGGGGCATGGCTCTACCCTAATCACCCCAAACACTTGGCAGGGACCATAAACCATGTGTTGAGCACCGTGCTGGCTGCAGGAATGAGTTGCTCATGGACCACAGAAGAGGTGTCCTCCCAACATCCAGGTCGGGGAGGCATCCCAAAGGAAGGTGAGCTGAGCAGGGCTTCCAGGATGCCCAGGAGCTGGCAGGATACACTTCTCTTGGGGTGGTGTTTGTTGCATCAGTGGAAACACAAATGTGGATCACTGTGAATTTCTTGGGAGATATATGTCTAAGTTTTTGAATGATTATGTACACAATTGATAGCCCCCAGCATTTTCTGACCCCTTGCTTTGTGACAACATGCTAAACTGTCTTTTCTTTTTCCCTCTTCCAGATACTTGCTGGAGCAGGATTTCCCAGGCATGAGGATTGGTCCAGAGCCCACCACTGACTCCTTCATTGCTGTGATGTACGGAGAGACCGAGGGCAGCACCCCAGGGAATGCTTTAGTCGTGGATCCCAAAAAACCATTTAGAAAGCTTAGCCGCTTTGGAAATGCTTTCCTGAATCGGTAAGGACCAGCACGTTTCCATATTTGCTCAGGTTGTTTAAACCTTTTCTTTGACTTATTGCCAGTTACATGTAAAGGTTCAAAAACAGAAGAACAGAATGTCTGTTCTGGAAGTCATAGGGATTATGTCTATCATATTCAAATATTTGAAAGACTGTCATAAGGAAATAATCATTCTGGATGGCTTCAGAGGGCAGAGCTAAGGCCTAGAATTGGATACAAGGATGCACAATATAAGGAACAAATTTCTAATCATTTGAGCTGCCCAGAATTAGTTAAGGTTGCTTTCTAAGGTAGTGAGCTCTCCATCACAGGCAATGTTAAGTGGCAGCTAGATAACCAGCCCTCAGGCATAGTGTGCTGGGACCTCCTGCAAGTTTAGCCCAGAGGACCTCTAAAGCCCTCCTGACATTCAGATTCTATCTGCTGACTCCAGGCAGGTCACCTCACCCACTGACTGTCCATTTTGCTTCTTATTCTCATGCTTTGACTGCTTCCTTATTATTCACTAGAGTAGGGCAAGGGAAATGGAGTCAAAACACCAAAAGTTGATCTTGTTACATGGTCATTATTTTACAGATTAAAAAGTTGCAGTTGGGATAAAGCTGTGGGATTACTGTCTTAATTAGAGGTATGTTTTATTTGTCCTACTTCCATGACCTTTCACCCCAGCTCCCAATGAAACTGAGGGGTGTTGGGGGCAGGGAGAATAAGCCACCCATTCTTCTGGCTGCAGCTTTGCCCTTTCTGACTTGATCTGCTGTCCTTACCTCCCTCTTTGCACTCCTAACCTTTTTTGCCTTTTCTTTTCCTTTTTTTGATCAGAGTCTTACTCTGTCTCCCAGGCTGGAGTGTTCTGGCACACTCATGGCCAACTCAGCCTCAATCTTCTGGGCTCAGGGGATCCTTCTTCCTCAGCCTCCCAAGTAGCTGGAACTACAGGCACACATCACTACACCCGGCTAATTTTTGGATTTATTGTAGAGATGAGGTCTCACCAAGTTGCCCAGGCTGGTCTTGAACCCCTGGATTCAAGCAATCCTTTCACCTCCACTTCCCAAAGTGCTGGGATTGCAGGCATGATTCACCATGCCTGGCCCCTTTTTTCCTTTTTAAACCCTTTTCTTTCCTATCACTACCCCCTTGGTCCCTCCATCTCCCTCTTTTATGAGTCTAGTTTTAGGGTGGTTGATTTGGGGGAGTGGAATGTAGGAGGTACAGAGTTCGAGAGGGTCATTCAAGCCTCTTTAGGGAGAGGAAGTAGGATCAGGGCTGACAGACAACAGGAGATTTGAACTGCACGTCCCCTTTCTAGATGTTGAAAATAGGAGTGGATCCTCCCAGCTGACTGCTGCTCTCCCAGAGGCTGAGGCACCTCATTGCGCAACTCCAGAGGGCACCATTCATGTGGGCTATGACATGAATGGTGTGCAGGGTGCTATGCACTGGCTCTGCCCAGGCAATCTCCATAGGTGCCTTCTGTGAAAAACTGAATGCCCTAGGGATCTTAACAGTCATTTAAGAATGTTTTTATGCTCCTGTTGCAAATCAAAGAAAGCATCCAGTGGTAGCCAGGAAACTTGGCAGTGGGATAAACAGAAGTATGCAGATGGAGTGGATGAAGTCATGGGGAAGTTCATCTTGTTACTGATGGTGACTTGCAGAAAACTGTCCAGATGATTTGTTCCAACCTGCAAGATTCTCTCCTCTAGAGGGAGTTTACTTCTTGGCTCCAGAGCAGCCTTGCTTGGCACAAGAGTGTCTCCTTGGAAAAGTAGAGGTTGAGCCCAGGGTGAGAGAACCCCAGAGGGTCAAGCAGCCTTGCCTGGCACAAGAGTGTCTCCTTGGAAAAGTAGAGGTTGAGCCCAGGGTGAGAGAACCCCAGAGGGTCAACTCTCAGGATAGAGTGGACCAGGGTTGAGAGGAAGAGACAAAAAGCTGCCCCATCAGGGCCTCCTTGGAAGGTTCTGGAGACCTCAAAAAGTGCAGGGCACAGGATACATCTCTATGGAAGGCTTCTCTGGAATCCTATGGTTTCATTACCACTGCCCTTTGTCTTATACTCTTCTTGTCCAACAAAGATTTTAAAAACAAAAAAGCTGACACTTTTTTTCAAATTCTCATTTTGTGAAGTCCATATTCACAAGGAGAAAACCAGGAAGGGTTGTTATTGACTTGTTTTATTTTAGCAAATGAATTACTTTCCTAACCAAAAAAAACTTTTTGTTTTGTTTTTCCAGATGAGTATGGAAAAAAAGTATTCAGGCAAGGCTCATATCTCAGAACTTAAAATTTGCTGAAAATAATCCATGCATTATGAAATCAAGTGTTAACTGAATCCATCATAATACATAGAAAAACAGTCACAAATACAGAGGGTGCCAAAAAAAGTATACACATTTTAAGAAAGGAAAAATCTGTATTGAAATTGTAATACTCAGCCAGGCTCGGTGGCTCAGCCTGTAATCCCGCACTTTGGGAGGCTGAGGTAAGTGGATTGCCTGAGCCAGCGGGTTTGAGACCCACCTGGGCAACTTGGCTAGACCTTATCTCTACAATAAATCAAAAAATTAACCGGGCATGGTAATGCACGCCTATAGTTCCTGCTACTTGGAAGGCTGAGGCTGAAGGATCGCCGGAGCCCAGCAGGTCGAGGCTGCGGTGGCTGCGGTGGCCGGGAACAGCCAGTCTGGGCGACAGAGTGAGATTCCAACTCAAAAAAAAAAGAAATTGTAATACTCAAAATATACCGATAACAAAAGATGGATACAAGTCACATTTGACTTCTGCAGTTATAAGAGGTGCTCAAAGTGGCTACCTCAGTGTCCAGGCACTTCTGATTATGGCGAACTGTAAGTAATACATAGACAACATTGCTTAAAACGTGTATACACTTTTTGGGCACCCCCAGTAGTTATTTAGCATTTACTAGGTGTTAGGTAATGTTCCAAACTTGTATATTAGCTTTAAATCCTCACGAACACCCCATGATGTGACTGTATTCTTATCCTTAATGTAGGGGGAAGGAATTGAGGCACAGAAAGGTTTAACTTCCACAAGGTTATTCTGCCCATAAGTCGCCATGCTGGGATAGGAACCCAAGCCATATAGCCACAGAATCCTGCTAGTGACCAGTAGTATATTATGCTGCCAAATGGTATGATATTTGGACTAAGAATCATTGCCTGACGCACCCTATTTAACTTTTAAGGCTGTCCTTAATATAGCCCTCCAACAATGATGATGAAGGTGATAGTGATTATGTCCCAAGTCATAATTTACATAATTTCATGAACACCCTCTTTTGGGGGTTAATCAGACAGACAATACTTTGGCCAGTTTATGGATGAGAAAACTGAAAGCAAAGAAGTGACTTGCTCAAGAAGAGGGAGGCCATCAGAAAGAGGCAGAGACACAACTAGAATCCAGGTTTCCCCTTCCCTTCTGTCTGCCACCCTGTGCCTCTGTGGATCACCAGCCAAGAGAAGTTTCTGTTCTTCCAGCCATCCTGGTGCCAGGCTCGAGTTTCAGGCTCACGTGGAAGGGAGGTGCCTCGTGTAAACTCATTGTTAACATCCTGATTAAGTAGTATCCACAGGACAGTGCTGCTGCTTCACACAGCACTTATTTAAGAAGGAGTTAATTAGTGTAGGGCGCTTAAATGTGTGTATATTATTATAGCATCCCCCTGGGAATATCAAGAAGGTTAGCTCTAAAGGTGAACCTCTTTTTTTTTTTTTTTTTTGAAAGCAGGATTTATTAAGAGGACAGAAAAGCTCCCACAGTGGGAGGGGACCTGAGGGGGTTGCCCAGGAACCTCTTTTTACATCGCATATACTTTTCTGGGAACTAGATCAAAATACAATACTTAGTAAAGGAAATTGGCTGTTTGCTGTGGAGAACTTTTCCTCCCAGACAGCCACACCAGCATCTCCTCTGAGGACAGATTGTCACTACGTGGCCTTCTCCTTAAGAGGTACAGGCTTAGCCAGGCTCGGTGGCTCAGCCTGTAATCCCGCGCCTTTGGTAGGCTGAGGTGAGTGGATTGCCTGTGCATTCGGGTTCGAGACCCGCCTGGGCAGCAAGACCTCATCTCTACAATAAATCAAAAAATCAGCCGGGCGTGGTAGCGCATGCCTGTAATTCCAGCTACTCAGAAGGCTGAGGCGGAAGGATTGCTGGAGCCCAGCAGGTCGAGGCTGCGGTGGCCAGGAGCAGCCACTGCACTCCAGTCTGGGCGACAGAGTGAGACTCCAACTCAAAAAAAAAAAGAGGTGCAGGCTTGAGCATCTGCCCTCGGGGGTATCTTTAAAAGAGTTGAGTACTTTACAAGGTAGTACCAGGTGACACCGTCCAAAGTTAAGCAAACCAGTGGATCCTGAGTCTCAGTCTCCAAAGCTGGTCTTTAGAAGAGTGGCATGGGTCTATGGTACATTTCTGAGAAATGAAGATAAATTTCCAAAAAGGCAGATTCAAACTAGAGAAATTCTATACTTGAACAATAAAAGAAGGAGTTCAGTCTAGAACAAAAAGAGTTCTATGGAAGAGGCTTTAATGTGATGTCCTGAAACTCCAGACAGGATTCCACAGGCTGCCATTCTCAGACATTCCTAAGCTTGTTATCTTATCAGGAGGCAACTGCACCAGTTGTTATCTTATCAGGAGGCAACTGCACCTTAGAACAGCCAATGGCACCCAGGAGCAGAATACTTTGGTCAGCTGCAGAAGCATCAGAGATTGGGCTCTGACATTTCCTCATGCAATCTGCTTTTGAATGGGATGTTAGGTTGTCCCTCAATCTACTTTTTTAGAGGTGGTATTTTTTTTTTCAAATTCAGATTTTAAAAACAACATTGTTTTTAGTTTAGCATCTAGCATTATTTTATTTTATTTGACTTTATTTTTATTTTTTTGAGTCAGGGTCTCATTCTGTTGCCCCAGACTTAAGTGCAGTGCCACAATCATGGCTCACTACAGCCCTGGCCTCCTGGGTTCAGATG